ATAAGTTTTATTTCTACATTGGTTAATAAGAATCGTGTGATCCTGCGAGAGAGAAAAAAGAAATTATGATTTGCAACATAGTTTGGAACAGTTATAGAAATCTGTGATCAGAAAAAAAAAAGATACAATCGTTTTGCAAACCTAAAGAATACACGTTTTGTGATTGAGTAAATATGTTCCTTTATTCATTTGTGAATATAATCAGTAATAAATTTTGTAGTAATAGGCCAATGAAGTCTTTATTGTATTGTACGCAACTAAACTCCCTCGGGACTGGCTTCAGAGAGATAATTGGTTTCGACAGACGCTTCACATTGTTTATCTGTTGGATTTATCCAAATAATAATAGTAATAAATAATCTTAAGACCAAAGTAAAAATATTTGTATTCCGTCTGAAAGATAGATTAACTGAATAATTATTTTTTTACATATTATTTCTGGCATCGTAGATGACAATACTGTTAAATTAATTGCTCATTCGATCATTTCAAATTATACCGAATGTTTTATTTTGTAAATTACCATGATGATAAGTTTAATAAAGAATATAATGTAGGCAACTAAAAACAGCGGTTATTTATTGATCCCAGAGGGATGGGAGGGTCATTAGAGGCTATACAATTTCTTTCTTAGCTATAAAGTTTCAAGATATAAAAGAAATTGTACAGCCTTATAGTATAAACAGTTGTTAATCACAAGATATAAAAAACACTATCAATTATATATATATATATACAGCGTACATTATTCGTAATGCAGCAGCAAACAGTTTAAAGTTAATTTGTCGTATCATAATTGTCCCAACCACTAGGTCAATTGAAGGAAAGCACACAGACGTCGCCCTCCCCTGACCGTGGGAGGCGCTTTGCGAACAGCGTAATAGAGCGACGACACGCGACAACCGTTTACAAATATTTCTATTACACCCCCACGGCTAATTGCTTCCTTATTCCGCTATCGTACACCATCGGAAATCTACTATTAACCCCGACCGCTGTACGGGACTTCGACGAGCTTTTGTTTTGTTTATTAGCAGTTTGTTCGCTCATGTATTTAACGGTGTCAAATTGATTCGTTTGGACTTACTTACATTGACGTTCTAGTGAGTAGCTTTCATTAACGCAAGAAATACCATCGAATTTTGTTCAGTTTCAAACGAAAACCTCACAATTTGTTGGTACATCCATTTTGTAAATTCGAAGCTTTTTTTTTTTGTCTAAAAGCACCCTTGAATTCTTTTGTACGTTTTTTAAGCGGCATGTTTCCTACTTTAGCGGTTACGGCTATTTATTAAAAAAATCTATGACTACAAATAATACCGAAAAAATATCGTAGCTGCAGTGCCGTTTTTGTTACATTTAAAGGTCTTTTGTTCGCTTTTGTAAAACGTTGGCCGTCAGAAGTGATCCTTTTTTCCAACATTAGTACAATGTATCACTCGTTAGCTATTATGTTAGTAATTGGTTTAATACACGTGTAAGTAGTTTTTATTAGAAAATGAAATGGAAACAATGCTATTTATTAACATTGTAATGATAGATTATGTATGCTTGTAACAGTCATTTATTTTAATGAGGCATTAAGGGTAGCGTTTTGGTAGGCCGACTTGTTGCTATACGAGGTCGTGCATTGGAATCCTGGTAGCGTTTTCCAATTAGTTTCAGTTTTTTCGATTATTTTACGTTCAAATTTAGCAGTTAGCAGTGTTACCATACCCATCTCTATTAGGCAGTATACATTTTTCCCAGTGCAGTGATGAGTTCACTATCAATGTACCTAACGTTTTAATCATTTATGAAACATTCCAAATCTTGCACCGGTTTATAGCTTCTACGGTTGGAATAAGAGATAGAATTAGAGTTTCTTTCGCCAGTTCTTCCCATGTCAGTAGATTTCCGAACCGATTTTATCAATCAATAAGTAAGTTTACTACTACTATATTGAATAAAGATATTTGAATTTCACAGATATGACAGAAGGAAACGCTTCACAGTTGAACCTTTTCCATCGCCGATAGCGGATTATACAACCGTTAACTGCCACGTAGTTCGACATCTAATCCTCAGCCCGGCAGTGCGGTGGCACTGATGACTTAATTAATGAGCCCGCCACGTCGCCAGTAATTAAACGATTCCGGCAAATTGAACACGACGACGGAGCCCGCGGCAGCCGGCAGATTAAAAACAAAATGCAATTTGTCGCGCGGCGCACCGTCGTCCCACGTTCCAGATTCAAAATGATTAGGAGCAAGGTCGCTAAATGCTTGATGAGCTTTTAACGCCGTTCCATCTAGTGTCTCAGACTATATGAACTTTAAATTTTCGCCTTATCTCGTTTTTCAAGCTGAGTTTACATTTCGCGTTCGCGCGCTCGTACGTATATCGAGTGTGAAGTACCATGGAAAATGTTTAAAGTTTTATCGGCGATGTGATAATTTTCGCTCATCGGTTCCGCATCATACCTCGGTACACTGTTGTAATATATTTACGTCTGTTGGATCGTATCCAAAAGCACTTTGCAGCGGTGAATCATGAGTAAGCATAATCTTGACAAACTAACAGGTTATTTCATCATAGAACATATTATTCAATGGTAATACAAAATGTTTTGACTTTTCCCGTGTTCACGTCACAAAAATTCAACGGCTTGTTATATAGATTAAGATTTTTTGACATTCTTAATGAACTATTACAAATTGTTGATTTATTTATACTCTTATTTAAATCTACAAGACTTTAGCGTTAATTATCTTTTATAATTAAAAAATATCGCATAAAAAATTCTAAATCGTTAACTTTGTCGATGTTGCCTTTAATTGATGGTATTTTTATAACCTAAATAAAAATTTATTTTAAAAAGTAGTTTTGCATATTCCAATATTATAATATATATGGTATTAATTCGATGTTCTATACAAATAAATGGCAAGGGGCTATACTCTTTATACCGGACACTGGATAAAATCTCATATATACGTACATCAAATATCATCTTTTTTATACTAAAACAATAGCTTAACGGTCCATTATGATGGTATTGTTAAGTCGTAATACTTGTATCGGATCGCTGTCACATTAGTGATTAATTTGTTGTTGGTTTAAGCAATTACAGCAAATGACCGTTGTCGACGGGCCGTCCGCTAGGCGAGTCGTATAAGCGAGGCGGTAACCGAGCCATTAACGGATGCTAATTATTAGATACAATCTCGTAAACACCCACTCTATTAGCATTTAACTTGCCACGATATCGTTACAATTATATTTATTACCCGCGCAACAATATAAATTTCCCATTGTTCTTAATGGCCGTACGATAAAGTCGGTCTTCAAGCTAACACTAAATGTACACGACGCAAACAATCTCATTAAAGCACTTAGAAATTCATCGCGCAAAAAAATAGAAGTCCCGCTCGAAGATAAATTCAATTTTACAACGAATAAATCTCTTTAGGACTGTGACGAAAACAAAATTCCCCCGAGATCTTTATTTGGCTTCCACAAAAGATTTTATACAATTCATTTCAGTCTCATAAAAAAAGTTATCACGAGTTCACAGAAATCGAGGCGGGCTATTTTTCTGCGGGCGGTTGTTCTCCCCGTGGGAAAGCCGTTTTGAGGCCAAATAGATGCCTCCAACCACAACGTTTTTGATGTACACGTTACGTCAGTACGTGTTATCGGCGCATTATTAAAATAATATTCTTAGCAAAAATCTTGACATAATCCCAATCTTAATTTATCACCATTTTATTTCACACATTGAAAAATATATTTATTTTTGATGTATATTAAATAAACTACATAATTATGTATATTAAATTTAATATTTTATTTTGAAAACGTTTGTTAACCGACATACATGAATTAAAATTATTGTTAGCATATTTTATTTAAAGGGGCTTAGAGATAAGCTTATTATGAGTTTAGAGACTGAGGGTGAGTGTTTGTCCTCGTGTTTGTGCATATGAAAGTATATGCACGATAAAACCATTAAGTCCAGAATTTTAATCTTCTTTGTGGCGCAAAATTGTAATTTAAATATGTCTTATGCTCTTTAATGTCTTAGAAAATATTTGACATTTATACGAGAGCGTAAAATAAACATCCTGCAAATAAAGACGCGTAACATATGACCCATTCGAAATTCAATAAATCCAGCAGCAATCTCGGTGTTTTACAACTTCACGAAATGGCTGTCTCACGAGGAATGCGCAAACGATAATCTCACACGTCAATATAGACCTTGTAAATAATTTCAAATCGCGATATGCTGGCGTATAAGATATTTCAAGAAAATTTCTTACAACCTTCTTGTATGTTTTTGCAGCAGTTTTATTTTCATTAGGAACTTTGAATGAGAGAAAACCTAACAAAAAATTATATCATTTAAATGCATAATAAATAAGTTTTGCTGTAAGTACATACTGATCTGTAATAGTGTTATTTGAAAAACCAAAACAAAGACAAACCGACCTGAAGCCCATGTATTTGAAGATTTTTGCTTTGCGTATATAATAATAATCATTTTTAATGATAAAAGCGTTAAGATTAAAAACTTGTATATCCGAAACATGATAGAAAGAAAATCTAAAATGTATTTCATACTTTTTATTGGGATTGGAATGTTTATTGAAATGTTAAAATATGTTGATATGATACTTACAGATTTTTATCGTGGCGTATTTGCATGCATTATACTTTTTTATAAAATTGCAATAAAATTTGATATATTTTTTTATTAATTAAAGCATAAATATTATTTACTAACTATTTGGCAAGTAAGCGCACCTATAAAATGTTGGCATGACGCCAAGAAGAGATGGTTTGTAGGATATTTGGTTAAATAGTTAATATTAAAAGTGATGTACGCACAGTTTGATATGTAAACGAAAGCAAATTTTATAAATTGACTATAATTGTATTGATAAATCAATAATCGGCATGCGATTCACTTTCTTTGCGCCGTCAGACTTTAACGTGGCTTTTTTGTTTGTTACCAGGCTGCCGTAAAATGCGCTTCCTCTCCTCGTACCAACGCCCTGTCCACCAAGCCGCGGCTGCCGCTCGCTGCACTGGCCAGCGACCCGGCCCGAAACCACCCACCCAACAACGTCAACTCTCATGTGAGTTTTTTTTATGTAAGAAGATTACAAGCGAGCTGGCGGTTCACCTGATGTTGAGTGATAACCGCACCCTATGGATATTTACAACAAAAGTGGGGTTATGAATGCGTTGCCATCTTTCAATAAAATGGGACGCGGTTACCTCACTCAACAGACGAAACGCAGAAGTGTAACACTTCCAGTTCACGCCGGTCTTCTGTGAGGTCGTCGTACTTCCCCGGTCGGACCTGGCCATTCGTGCAACAGCGAAGCTGCGTGGCCCTACCACGGTATATTATTTCGATTTATCAATTTCTCATCGAGTGGCAAGCGAGAGACCGCTATCCCCACCCGACGGTAGGTGCTGATGTTATCATAGTTTTAGCATTAGCTCAGCAAAGGCCTATTCACTCTTGTTTTGTAGAGACTCCACATTGTACTCGGATCGAAAGGACGCCGGCAAATTGTTCCACTCCTTTTCTGTACGAATACAAACAACGAAGAAAACCTCTTCGATACGGTATAAGGGAAATCGACCACAAAATCACACTGGTCATCGATCTGCTCATTTGTAGTACAAAGGTTTTTCTTTTGGGCAAGTTCTATTTTTTAAAGTACTTTCAGATAAGAAATAAAAAAAGAAACAAAGTTATAACGTTGTTTCTTTTCTCATCTGTAATTATTCTTTTACGATAACGTTTGTAAGACGCATTGTGTTAATGGCTAAGTATAACACAATGCATTCGCAATACAATGTTTCTTAGTTCGCCAATTTGTGATTACACGCCCCACATTTAAAATGTAGCTTAACGTGACCGGCGCGTCCTTGTATCAAATTTCAAATTCACACCTCACCGATAGCTATTGCCGCGGCAATTGTTATTGTTAACGCCATAATTCAATCGATAAAAGCTAATGGCCGTGCTAATGCTGCGCGCTTTCCTGCCGGCACATGCTCGACGTTAATGCATCGGGTGATCTCACATGTCTAAATGCAGCCAGTCTAAATCTGTATGCCATCGGCGTGCCTCTTCCGGGCCCCGCTTTCTCGCCAAACGCATTATACAGTACGTAAACTGCCACTTGTCAACGCGCCTCCAAGCGCAACGCCCGCCGCGCCGTGCGAAACATCATGTTTTCGTATTCCTTTGCGGTTTCGCAACATCGAACAGCACCAGATCGTTTTCGTTTCTAACATATTAAATATAACCCCTTTACTATACGCTTCGCTTTATGCTTTGACAGCGCAAAGCCAGTCGAGCCAGTAAGCTGAAGTAGATTAATAAACGCAGTTTAAAACTGTACGCGGCGTTATTAATATCGGCCTTTGTAAATTTTAATGGCGTAAATAACGCTGGGGGCGTAATTAAAAACTTTTGAAACGGCGCTTTCATTGGCCGCGCGGATGCACTGAATTGTTTTGTGGGGGTTTCTTTTTTTGTGTTCAACGGGTGTTGCCAGCGGTAAGACGGGCGCTTGTGAATCACAATGCGCTCGAATATCGCTATGGATAGAGCTTGGATAGCACGGGGTTGGGATTGCGGACGGTAGGAAGCGTGCAGTCGACACGATATTAAAATAAAACGCCGGCGAGACCGGTGCGCCCGCGGCCGGTATTACCTATCCTCTGGTATGCCATTTCATCCGCCGCCTCTATAAATTGACCGATTATCGACGACCCGTTTCAGAGCAAATATTTGATTTTATACCTACCGCGTGTCTTCCATCTCTCTCAGGTAACCGTATATTTATTGAGAGAGCTTGAAAGTTCGTTTATTTCATCGTATATATAGTACGTTCACGTACTTACAGTTCACGTTGTTTAATATAAAAATATGTATTTTAATGTTTTTATTGAGTATGATAATATACAGCGTGTCGTCACCACCGCGACAATAAATGAACACACGTCTAACGCTACTTGCCAATAATTATAAAAAAATATTAACTTTAAAAAAATCCATAATTTAAAAAAAAACTATTTTTCAAACAAACTAATTAAGTAAAAAAGAAACAAAATTTATAACATCCTCCTATACAACTACAACTGACTGATTCATATATTCAGAGACTCATTGGTTGCCACAGCGTCGCATTACAAGCCTCTCCTTCTAACAGTATGTTTTGTCTCTTTTAAATTCATTCAACCCATTCATATGCTTTGTGACCTTTACAAATGAACTTTACGTTACAGTTTTATACGTAAGGTTGTTCTAAAATTCTTTGTTTTGTTAAATTTTACAACTCGATAAATATTAATGTTTAAAGAATGTAAATGTTTAATACAATTTTAAAAACCTATCCTCTATATGGGTGTTTATTTATTGTCGCGATTGTAAAGACACGCTGCATAAATAATTTAATTTACATGAATGGCACATCAGATTTACAAAAATATCAGGGCGAAATTGTTATTATACGATAAATATTCTGAGATCACGATCGGTGTACGGTGAATAATCCTTAACAATGAAATCACACATCAGCCATAAACCGAGTCGCCTTTTCTCCCCTATTTGAATGTACTAGGCGGAATGAGAGCAGTTTACCCGCATTTCGTCGGTCCGCCGCCAGCCAAGATATGTCGCAATCCCATCCAATTTGCCTCCCGCCGCTGGTGCTTTTTTACGAATAAAGCGGGAAATCTTGCTCCGCGGAGAAAAGAATAATTTATATCGGCTCGAGTACAAGCCAGTTAAATTTTGTATTGAGGAAGTTTTACTATACCTTTTCTCCGCAAGAATATGTTCTTTACATATACACGTTACTTTTCTCCTAACCTAATACAAATTTATTGTTTTCGCCATTTCGTTTCGTGCCGAAGCGTGTTCCGAATCGAATGTTTATTTTTGTTTTACAATGAAAACGATTTCCGTTTCTACAACGCTTTTTGAATATATTATAGTGCCGTACGAAATATGAATACGTTGAAAAGTCGTAATGGTTATTTTGTGATATGGGAAAAGTCAAGGAATATTTTTAATATATTTAATTTTTAATGAATTGAGAAAAAAATATTACTATATCAGTGTATTCAACATCATTTCGTTCACCGAATGTATACCGTACCTTGTCAATTTATTTGCGCCTAGACACAATGTTAGGTTGGTTGTCACCACCAGGTTTGTCCGTCTAATGGTTAAAACAAGGATTTGGGTTTCTGGCAATAAATATTTTAATATGGACAAGACGACGGAGACAGTTTCCGTCCGACCCAGGAAACAATATCTTGAATTTTGATACCCTCTCTTTCCTCAAGGAATGGGGACAGTTAATTTTATCTAAATTTAAAGTGAAGTTCGTAATTATTACGAGAAGAGGTGATGATTAAGCCTGTTTGTTGCGTTGAAAGGTTTGCAAAACATTCACAATGAACATGAATTTCTCGCATGCGAAATAACCATATTGTAACAGTGCTAAAAAGCAACAGCGTATACATATGCCCCTACCTAGGGGAGTTTCAAACAATGTAGCATAGTCCGCCAGGCTACCGCTGTGCAAATTTTCAGATTTGATATATCCCCCAAAAAGAAAGTTTATCATTTCGTTATAACAACAACGCCTAAGCGATAAATATAGCGTGAAGTTGCTCATCACGCACTTTACGGCTGGCGCACGTATATATCATATATGTATATGTACGTGCGTTTAACGTGCGAAGGGAGCGAGCCACGCCGCAACGGTGTCGACTAATAGCTCTTCGCAGATTCAATTTGCCGTCGAATAGAACACAGCCTCCCGGCGGGCTGTCGCGATCATTAAGTTTCGCTCCCCATCTCCAGCCGCCAGCCACCGAAACTCACTCGCCGCGCCAACCGCGCACGACGTTTTCGTCCAAAGTGATTCAAAGTCGCATAACTTATTATTGGTGAAATACGATTTGAAATAAGTGATGCTTTTTTTCTATCCGGTAACTGTGAGACAAGACATTGTTCAACGTGAAAATTATAAAACATGTAGAAAAAGTACGAAAAGATTGTCGCCGCTGCGGGAATCGAACCCACGTCTTCGGCATTCGCGGCCTGACGCTCTAGCCACTGAGCTAAACGGCTGATAGCCACAGCGACGAAAATCTTAACGCCTTCTTTCTACATTGTTATTTAGCATTTGAAGCAATGCTTGGCGCATCTATTGTTATATCCTTTCCAGCATACAAACAATTTCGAATATCGTTTTACAACGATAATTCGAACGAGAGATGTCGCCATTGCTTTTATAAATTTTAAAGTTTTTTTTTTTTTTTTTTTTATAGTGCTAATACTCTGCACTTAAGATTGAACGTTAAAACATGTAGAAAAAGTACGAAAAGATTGTCGCCGCTGCGGGAATCGAACCCACGTCTTCGGCATTCGCGGCCTGACGCTCTAGCCACTGAGCTAAACGGCTGATAGCCACAGCGACGAAAATCTTAACGCCTTCTTTCTACATTGTTATTTAGCATTTGAAGCAATGCTTGGCGCATCTATTGTTATATCCTTTCCAGCATACAAACAATTTCGAATATCGTTTTACAACGATAATTCGAACGAGAGATGTCGCCATTGCTTTTATAAATTTTAAAGTTTTTTTTTTTTATAGTGCTAATCTCTGCACTTAAGATTGAACGTTAAAACATGTAGAAAAAGTACGAAAAGATTGTCGCCGCTGCGGGAATCGAACCCACGTCTTCGGCATTCGCGGCCTGACGCTCTAGCCACTGAGCTAAACGGCTGATAGCCACAGCGACGAAAATCTTAACGCCTTCTTTCTACATTGTTATTTAGCATTTGAAGCAATGCTTGGCGCATCTATTGTTATATCCTTTCCAGCATACAAACAATTTCGAATATCGTTTTACAACGATAATTCGAACGAGAGATGTCGCCATTGCTTTTATAAATTTTAAAGTTTTTTTTTTTTTTATAGTGCTAATCTCTGCACTTAAGATTGAACGTTAAAACATGTAGAAAAAGTACGAAAAGATTAACAATAGATGCGCCAAGCATTGCTTCAAATGCTAAATAACAATGTAGAAAGAAGGC